GTCACTCTCAAATTGTCAGATTACTGGAATATACACTTTTTAGCATGTAATTAACTCACCCTACCTTAATCTGACACGCTCGAGAATTTCTGATGATCAATTTTTTTTTACTAATCTGATCCGTTATCCTTCACGGGCGGCCTTATATATGGGGCTCATATTTGGTGGAGGTACTTAACCGGGTACAAGGAATCCCCCTATATATTATTCTGCCGCGCTTCTGTAAATCCTGAAATCCCCGCTTGGGCTCCCCTATTATAGGTAGGTAGATCCAAGATGACTGGATCTAATCCTGTCTATTTCCTGATTAGACTCTGTCGAATTTGATGCACTAGTAATGTTTTTTTTTATATCCAATCAACATCAGAAGAATAACCAGAATTACGTACAACCAAAGAATCGCTAAGAATGGCATTGGCAATATTTGAAAAAAAATATTTCTTTTGTTTTCTCTCACTACTTCATTCCAACGACTCTGTTGATTGAGACAGAAAGAAAAGTTGTAACTGGAAGGGGAATCAAAGAGCATTAATTGAGAAGAATAGTGATTACCATATCGGAAGCAAAAAACAATTACTATAAATATACAAACCTCAAACCGAAACTATTAACACACATATTACCTCGTTCCAATATTTTGAAAATTTTTAAACTGGATGCATCTTGCTGGAAGGTAGAACTGGAACCTCTGTCATAGAATGAATTCAACACAGACACTTCTCTCACATACTGGAACTGCAACTCTCTCAACACGCCTTACGCCAACCAAGTTAGGGTCATCAGGAGATCAACTATATAAATCCCTAACTCTAACTTTGCCTATTTATATCTAAGTGGATGAACATCACTTTTGGTCATGCATCAATGATTTGTTGAGTACAAATCAGCAGTGAATTCATTATGACAGTAAATGTAAAAGTAAACAATGGGCTGTTGGCCTATGTTCGTAGTTCTCAGTTCTCATGCCAAACTTCGCTATTTCCAAATATTAGAATGCATCCAAGAGTCTAGGGTCATGTACTGATTTTTATAATTTTGAGCAATGTTCATTTATTCTAAATCATTTTCCAAGGCGTGTTGTATCCAAACTTTTCTAGTCTTCAAAATGAGATATGCACATTGTGTTTTTCTATGAAGAATAAATACATCTGAACTTGAAGGAGTATACATGAAGAAGTGTTCATGAATTCATGTATATCAACGTGAAGAACAAAAAAGATGGAATTATTTTGGGTATGAGTGAGGAACTCCTATTTTTATTTTCAGGGCAATAAGTTTGTGAAAAACCAAAAGTGGGATGAGGCTATCAAATCGTATACTAAAGCCATTGAATGCTATTCTTATGATCCAGTCTTTTATGCAAACAGAGCATTGTGTTACTTAAAGATCAGTAAGTAAGTACCCTTAAGAGCTAAAATAACACATTGGAAATGAAATCTATTTCAAGTAAAATTTTGTCGTCATAATCATCATTCAAACTTCTTCTGATATTTTATTCAAGAAATCTAATATATAAAAATGAATTGCTAGTTCACTATGAGGTCACATGCTTCAATAAAATCTGCTAGCTCTGCTTGTTCACTTTCAAATTTTGGGATGGCATCCAAATAACTTGTTTGAAAAGCGGCCATTTCATCGGGTTGTTCCTGGTTGTTGTTTTCAGATAATTCGTTATGAAGATTGATATTCGAAATCAAATTCGCAAGATAATCAATTTCAAACATAAAAAAGAATATACAATGAGCAATCACTTACATAAAATTTTGTTTATCCTCATTGGTCCAATAGGTCCTGAAGTGGTAACCTAAAAATTGTCAGTGGGAGATTGACCCAAAATCGCTTTCGCTTAACTACTGCCACTGGAGATGAAATTAATTGAGTGTTCCTGGTATTCCAACAGGTTGATTTTCACTGGTAATCCAATTATTGATTGGCACTGATAATCCAATAAACTGATTGGCATCATTTTATGGGAATCACTGCACCACATTAGAAAGGGTTTAGAATAAATTCTCAAGATTTTGTGCATATAAAATGAACATCCATATAGAAAATGTGGCAAATGGTCTTAAACTCAGTTCACTGAGTAAGAGAAAAGAAAATGCTGATATAATATTAATTATTGGTCAAGTTATATGCACTGAGCTCCTAGATAAAATTCATCTACGTATGCCAACTAAAGCTCTCAGTAATACTGATCTCTTTCACATTCCTTTCTATTTCACCAAATATGATAGAAACTTGGAGGTTGCTGGTATCACGTTATCTACATTAAAAATAGTCTGTAGTCAGAATTATAACATTGACTAGTGTATACTAATTTATTGTACTTGCACTTAACTGTCTCTAGTTTTTATTAAACTAGAGATATGTATATTATGTAATGGGGATACATGCAAGCTTGGGTAGAATTGCAGAGCCTATTGAATTCTTGGTATTCAGCGTGAGATACTTGATGTGGATGAAAATGGCCATGGCTATCTCTATAACATGGGTAATCCGTACATAACATACATTGCTGGAAAATCAAATACATTTCTGACAGATTCACATAAAACATATATCTACTCACTGAATTATTTGTCTCTTCTAAACAAAGAGTTCTCGAGGTTCCTGTTGGATATAGAATCTGAAATGGAAACATATTACTCGAATCATAAATTTGATAATGCTACTATGAAGAAGTCTCCTATTCATTTTCTCTTTAGAAGAATAATTATTGTGTTCAATCAGTGAATGCAAATTTTTTAAATACTTGACAGCTTTATTGGTTTCTATAGAATTTTACATTTTCATTTCATAAATCTGTTACTATATTTTCACCGATTCATTTGTATTTTTTTTAACAAATGAACATAATCATTGTTATTGGTTTCAATATTTTCAGATTTGAGGAAACTGAGAAAGATTGTACGCTCTCTTTGAAATTAGATCCCACTTACGTGAAGGCTTACCAAAGACGTGCTGCTGCTAGGTCAAATTTAAACAAACTAGAAAACGCTGAAATGGATCTTTTGAAAGTCCTAGAGCTAGAACCTAAAAATAAAGAATCCATAATAGAATTAGAAAAAATTCGTCAGAAATTGAACAGACACACAGAAAAGGTAATATGTTGACAAAAGTCAGTGAACAGATAAAACTAAACTAAATACCACTTTGGCAATATTAATTGAAACTCTAAATGAAGATTCTAGAGTAACTCGAGACATAAAACCAATAGATGACAGTAAACCTAGTACATCTTGGTCGCCACAAGAAGATATTATTTTAGTCAAGCCAATTCAGAAGCCCCCACATCTGAGATCACAAAAACCCCTTAAGAGAATATCAATTACTGAAACGAAAGGAGGCTTTACAGAAAAGACAATTGAATCTCCTAGATCTCAGGAAGCAGTAAAGAGGCATGTGGTAGAAAGGCATGAAAACATTGAAAATTTGAATGAACTTGATGAACAAATTGGCGAATTCAAAAAGAAAAAGGCTGAAAAACATTTGGAGAAGTCTGAACAATCCAAAAGTACGGTTGATTTCAAACAGGAGACTCAAACTTGCTTTAAAAATGAGGATTTCAAGATTACAGAAAGAACCTATTCGGCGTCAAATACAAAGGATGTAAAAAATACAGTAAATGATAATAAAAAATTAATAGAGTGCAATGATAGAGATGTCAACTTAGCTACACCTAAAAATTCTGTACAGTTTTATTCATCTTGGAGGAATCTCAAGACGCCAGAAGAAAAGTATATTTATTTAAAGTCCGTTAAGCCACAAGAATTACCAAAAATATTTTTGAACTCGCTGGAAAGTGATATTTTTAGTAATATCTTGGAAGTGATGGTGAATTACTACATAATTAATAAGGATCCCGTTTTTGATATTTTGAATTATTTCTCAGAAGTAAAACGTTTCAGTGCTATCACAATGTTTATGGCCTCCGAGGATAGAAACAGTAAGTTCTTGATTTCCTTAAGTTAACATGCGCATGTCAAATTTTGTTAGAGCTGAGCTATGTTTGAGATCAATAATTCTGCAACCTTCTCAAAGGTTTTGGATGAAAATGAGTGTCTAGAGACTGTTTTTGTATAAGGTCTTTGAGAGGTTCCTGAATCATCTCTTGAACACATCTCATTTGCTTTTTTTTATTATTCAATTGAACTTCACTTCTGCTATAAATCGGATATCATCTCACAAACTCTAAAAAATTTATTATGATAGCAGGATCAAGTCTGGTTGACCAAATGAATCTACTCAGTGACTTATGAAAATTTTACTCAGTTTGAGAAACATTTTCAAATTTAAAAGCAGTCTGTAGCCTAAAGTACTCAAACTGGAAAATTGGTTTGGTAGACCATATAGGATTTCATTTGGAACAGGTGTATTTTTTGATTTGGCTAGACTGTGTATTTTGTATTCATGTCAGTTCTCATTTTAATTGTTCACAACTTTATTTTAACTGAATATCAAGAACACTAAACGGCAGCAAACAGCCAGCAAGGGGAGTAAACAGCAAATAAACTCAAAAACTCATATGACAACTGATACTGATGACAAAAAAACAGGTTAGCCGACCCAGAAAAAGTACATGTACTCTTAACCGATTCGTTACTGATTAAATGATGAATATGATAAAATGTGTAACTTTTAGTTGTGTTGAACCTTTGGTTCGTCTGAATTTATCTTCTCAAATACAATTTAAAGACCTTTTGTCTTGACAGTTTTTTTATTTCATTTTCTTGACAAGCCAATCCATCTTTATTCTAAGTCTACTGAGAAATTAAAAATATTTCAACTGAACACCAATGTGATAATAATAATGTACCAGACCATATCAATTATGATATTAACTTGTTATCTTTCCACACCTTCAGTGAAGTGGTAATTGAAAATAAATTGAAAAACCTAGATGTCTCAAAGGGCGCGGGTCCTGACGGAATTCCACCAGTATTGTTGAGGAATTGCTGTCACAGTTTATCACATCCCCTTACAATACTTTTTCAAAGATCATTTGATACAGGGATTTTTCCAGGTGTTTGGAAAAAATCTGTCCTTTCTCTAGTATTCAAAAGTGGAAACAGAAATGATATTCAGAATTACAGGGGTATCTCGAAAATTTCTTGTATTCCCAAAGTATTTGAATCTTTAATTACGGATGATATATTCAATAATTTCAAACACGTGATAATAGATGAACAACATGGATTCTACAAGGGAAGGTCTACTGCCACCAATTTGGCTATCTACCAAAACTTCATCACAAATAAGCTTGAGCAAGGGTTCCAAGTTGATGTTGATGTAAACGGACCTTGCTAAAGCCTTCGATTCAGTTTGTCATGAACTATTAATTTTAAAACTTTATAATCTTGGAATAACGGCAGATACTTGAAATTTATTAAATCCTACCTTTCCGGTAGATCGCAGAATGTGAGGATAGCTGACAGTGTGTCAGAAACAATTCATGTGACTTCGGGGGTTCCGCAAGGTTCGCACATTGGGCCTATATTATTTCTACTCTTTATTAATGATGTTAAATCAGTGTTTAAACACTGCGGACGACCTTAAGTTTTTCAAAACAGTGCAATCTACCAATGATATTGAATGTATTTAGAATGACCTAGATAGCTTTTGTACCTACTGAGATACTTATTGTCTGAAAGTTAACATTAAGAAATGTAATGTGTTGAGATTTTATAGAATAAGACATATTACAGAATATGATGCTATAAAGTCATTATACTTCAATTGGTTCGGAGTATTTTGGAATATAATAGTGTTATTTGGTGTCCTCTTTATGCTTGTCATAAAGAGAGACTTGAAAAAGTGCAAAATCGCTTCTCTAAACATATAATTTGGAAACTTGGCCTACCCTACTTTGGATTTACCTCGCAAATGAGGCTGTCTGTATTAGATTTATCATCACTTGATTAATGTACTTGACATAGTTACGTTTTTGTTTTATAATTTAATTGATCATTAGTGTTGAATGTCTTTAAGATTATTCTTGTCTTTTAAATATATTTTCTTTTTTATGTTCCATTTGGTATTTTATTAATAGTTTGTGGTGTACTGGACTAATAAATAAATAGGTTTATTTATTTTTAAGCAATTACAATAGTACCTGTTACAATACCTGTACCTACACCTGGAACAATAACAATCTTGCTGCCTGTTGTCATTCTGTTCTGTTGAGGTGAACCTCAATCGAATATGGAGGTGAACCTCAACGAAACGTTAGGATGTGACTGGTCACTTCAGAGGTTTATTCATTTTGATGATTCACCAATGACTGGCGATTGCTAGTTCGTAGGTCGTATTTTATGTTGACTTAGGTAGTCCGTCTCTCTTGTTGATGCGTTGCTATTGGCCAAAGTCTTATTACCTGTTAATGACGTAACATTGCATTGCACTGTTGCCACTTTAGCATCTTTTAGTATGGGATCCGTTTAAGCGTTTCTGTTGTAGTTTTCTGTATGTTTATGGATTTTTATGGCTTCCCGCACAAGCCGACTGTGGTATCCATTATCGGGGGCAAGTAGTTTCACATCTTCAAACAGTATCGTGTGATCTCCTTCACTAAGCGCGTGTTCCGCTACTGCCGATTTGTCTATTTGACCCAATCTCTAGTTTCTCCGATATTCATTCAGCCTTGTACCCATGGCTCTTTTGATGGTACCGATATACATTTTTCGGCAGGTGCATGGTATACGATATACCCCCGCAGCTTATAGTGGATCTCTTTTGTCTTTCGCAGATCTAAGATTTTGTTGTAATTTCCTGGTGGGCTTGAACAGTGTCTTCATTTTATGCTTCCCTAAGGTTTTTCCGATTCTGCCTGTAACCCTAGGAATGTATGGTAAAAATGCACACATTTACGGTCGAGTAGGCTCTTGTAGCAGGAGATTTCGATGTTAATTTCACGTTTGAAGATAGCAACACTTGGTAAAGTTTTTACAGGATAAATTAGAACTGCATATGAATAATAACCGAAATGAGCCTTCCACAAGACATGAAACAACAATCGATACAGTTTTCTCTAGATATTCTTCTAATTTTCATTTGAAAACATTCGACAACATTTATCTTTTTTCTCATCATGCAAGCCCTACCGAAACAACTACTTCCATATAAACATTGAATTACAGGAACGAAAAAATACTTCTGAAACAACTACTTTTATATGAACATTGAATTATTCAAACAACACTTTTTCCTACTCAGTTTGTATTTCAAACATTCCTTATGGAATTGATTCAGATATCATTCATAGGATTATTACACAATATGATCTACAGGGTGTAACATAAGTACGTTAAAATATTCAAGTGACGTATTCCTGAGACAATTTTAAGAAAAAAAGTCTATATGAACTTGTGTCCGAAAATGCTTCGTTTTGGAGATTAATTTGAAATAGATAATGACAGCGTACGTAGCGCCCTCTAGATGTTACATGAAAATTAATACGAAATTATGATTTCCTACGTCAAAAAAACCCCGGGTAACGAGTTTCGTGCAAATAACTTATTTTTTGCAGGAGTTATTTTCAAAAAGCGAACAAAAAAATTCAATTCCAACACCCCGTATCTCCGAAACGAAGCATTTTCGGACGCAAGTTCATATAGACTTTTTTTCTTAAAATTGTCTCAGTAATACGTCACTTGAATATTTTAACGTACTTATGTTACACCCTGTATAAAAGAGGTAACATTTCACTTATATGTAACACTTGCCTAATTGCCTCTTCAGCACCAATCTGGATAACATTAGAAGACAAAGCATTCAATTCATTTGTAACATTACGACTTCATGTCACGAATAAATCCAATCTACTCATGTCATTGATGAGTGTATGTAATGTTACGAATGAATTCAGTGCTTTATCTTGTAATGTTATTAAGATTGGTGCTGAAGAGGCAATAAGGCAAATATCTTATTCTGAAACATATATATCCGCCATTGAGGATAAGTAAAACTTTACCTCTTTCCTATACTATATTGTGTAACAATTCTGTGAATGATATCTGATTTTTAATTCCATAACGGATGTTTGGAATACAAACGAGTACAAAAAAGTTTTTTTTGTATAATTCAATGTTTATATGAAAGTAGTATCTGATCTACATATCTTTTTGAATAGGTTATTTTGAAATTAATGGCTTTCTTCCTTATTTTGGAAGATTCCCACATTTTTTGTGTAAAGATGAAAAAGATGAAAGCTAAAACTTTTCTTTTTTGTATAGAAATTGTCGGTCAAAATTGAATAATTGGAATCTTAAAAAGTATTGTTTAGTATAGCTGGAAAAATTGTAATACAAATAATTTTTGTTTTCATTTTTCAGATTTATGGAAACTCTTTGATTATATGAAGCAAAATAGTGAACGAGAAAATGATGAAATTGACAAATTGAGGAAAAAATATGAATTATAGTTCCAATAGTTATATTAGTTACATGTGAATGATTGCACTCTCCTATAACATTTTCTTTTTGATATTTTTCGAATAGATTCATTCAAAGTATCTTCTCTAGTTTTACTTCTTATGCTGAATGACGAAAAAAATGTTGATTTTTTTTTTGTACTTTTATACCTAATTTTCTGTACCCTGCCTTGACAACCCTGGTTGCTATGGGTCACTTTTGTAAAATGTTGGAGTATTTGAGTATAATAATAAATTTTATTACAAAATGTAGTCAATAATATAACTGAATTTTAGAGAACAGTCAAATCTTTCATCTCTTCAAGAGTCATAGCCACAACTTACAAATCATGAAAAACAAATTTCAAACAGGGAATGAAAACTGTAAATAAATTGGAAAAAATGGTCACCAGCCTAACTAAAGATGTTGAAGGTAAAATATTTCCACTAAATGGACTTGAAATGTTTTCGAATAATGTGTCCTCAAAAATTTCACTTCAATTATTCATATTGATGTCTATGGTTAGATCTGAAGAATATCCTGATTTTCGAATGATAACCTTAGAATAAATGAAATCACATTTGGAAATTGTGGTATGTTGAACAGGAATAATGAAGAGATTTAGCATCATAAATTGATAATCAGAAACTGAATTATCATTGCATGCATTTGGAAATGAATTCCAAGTCCAATCTTGTACCATCAGACCCTGGTTACATATGGTTACAATAGTTGTTTTCCACATATCCAAAGACTAGCGAATTATTTCGATCATCTTAGTTTTTTTACTCCATTCCTATCTGAATTTAAAACACTGCTGAAATTGCTTGTCACTCAACCATCTCATCGCTTGAATTGCCTTTCAAGATAATTTACTTAAAGAACATTCACAATTCTCTCTCAATGGTTTTATCTAAGTACATGTCCATATTTTCGCTATACTGAATTGTATTCATTAACCCTACAGACTTTGCTTTTATTATTATTTTTATCACTGTTCATTATAGCAAGTCACAAAATTTATCGATACATAATTTCAGCACATACAAAGTTGAAATTGTCATTAGAAATTTGTACTACAAATTTTATAAATATTTTAGTTTGAAAGGGTTGAGTCAAAGAATACAACAAAAAAGACCTATATAAAACTTGATATCATTTAAAGATTATTGTGAAGTTAGCCACAGATTTTCTACTTTCTCAACTCCTTACCAAATATTTTTGAAATTTTGGAAAGACTACCGGTAATTTACCTAAAATATTTCGAATCCTACCTTTCCGGTNTTCATTTTCAATTTTATTAGAAATATGATATTTTTTCATACTGAAAGGGTGGGGGTCGGAAATTTTTTGTCGAAAATGATTGACCTGGTCGAGATTCATGCCTGGAAGACCCGACCTGCAATAATTTTCGCCGACCTGCAAAAGGTATTTTCAATTTTGTGAGAATTGTGAAACTTTTAAATGGGGGTTGGAAAATGTTTCTGTCGAAAATGATTAACCAGGTCGAGATTCATGTCTGGCAGACCCGACTTGCAAGAATTTCTGCCAACCTGCAAGGTTTATTTTCAATTTTATAAGAAATGTGAAATTTTTTCATTCACAACGGGATTAGTTGGAAGTTATACATAAATTTTCATCCACAACTTCTGATGTAGAGACAACCTTTGGTGGGATAGAACTACATTATTGCGCAGTGTTGCCAATTCTCTAAGAGTTCTACTTGCATAAGAACTTCAATATAAGCAATCTTGCTATTAAATTTCAAAATATGAGTTCATCAATTCTTACTAGAGTAAAAAAACTAATGTCATGATAAGTCCGTAAAAATTGAAATAACTGAGGATACTATGATTGGTGGATCCTTTATTCACAAGTGTTTCAAGCTGTTTTTCTCGACATATAATGCAAAATAATAATCAGTATATACATAGTTGGCAAAACAAAAATATGTTCAAAAATTGAAATTTGTAGAGAACACTTTTTGACGATCTTGAATTCATGAAAATAATTTTTCCCACAGGAAAGAGTGCCTGTTCACGAGACCTGGCTTAAATTATAATTCATTATTAATACTCATACGAGGTTGAACCAAAAATTTGTGGAAAACTATTTTTTAAGGAAAATAATGAAAAATAATGGATCGTAAATTATAAAAAATACTTTTTTCTCGGTAATCTTGTTCACGAGACCTGGCTTAAGTTATAATTCATTAACAATACGTATACGAGGTTGAAACGAAAATTTGTGGAAAACGATTTTTGATGAAAAATAATGAATAGTGGATCGGGAATGATACAAAATTATTTTTTCTCAGTAATCTTGAAGTGCTTGTTCACGAAACCTGGTTTCAGTTTATAACTCATTATCAATACTTATACGAGGTTGAAACGAAAATTTGTGGAAAAAGGTTTTTTATGAAAAATAATGAAAAATAGTGAATCGTTAATTATAAAAAATAATTTTATCTCGGTAATCTTGGAGTGCTTGTTCACGAAACCTGGCTTAAGTTATAATTAATTATCAATACTTATACGACGTTAAAACGAAAATTTGTGGAAAACAATTTTTGATGGAAAATAAAGAAAAATAGTGGATCGTGAATTATAGAAAATAATTTTTTCTCAGTAATCTTGGAGTGCTTGTTCACGAAACCTAGCTTAAGTTATGATTCATTATAAATACTTATACAAGGTCGAAACGAAAATTTGTTGAAAACGATTTTTGATGGAAAATAATGAAAAATAGTGTATCGGAAATGATAAAATATAATTTTTTCTCAGTAATCTTGGAGTGCTTGTTCACGAGACCGGGGTCAAGTTTTAATTCATTATCAATACTTATACGAGGTTAAAACGAAAATTTGTGAAAAACGATTTTTGATTGAAAATAATGAAGAATAGTGGATCGTGAATTATAAAAAATATTTTTTCTTATCAATGTGAAAGCAGCCACGAGTTCTAGCCATGGATTTGTCGAATCATCGGGCGAGACTCGACAACCAGCGGTACCCAAAATTGGAATCAAATTCGTGGCCAGCAATGACTTTACTCAATGACCTCAAAGCAAAATCCATAATTCCTTCAAATCATTCGTGGATAGGATTTTCTTTTTGAATGTATTTATTTCGATATTCAGGACAAGACTCATATGTTGAAATATTTTGTCGGAGAGACAATTAACCCCCACCCCGTATGTAATAAATTTCAAGAAAAAATCCATGATCCTTCAACTCTCTGATGAATGGGATTTTTTTAATGAATGTATTCATTTTAGGGTACTACAAAACCTATAATATATGGAAATACTTTGTCTGGTAAAAAAGTATCCCCCTCAAACTAAATTTCAAATGGTAGTCCATAAATCTCTCAAATCTTTCTCTATGAATGTATTTATATTAGCATACTAAACAAAACCTTTTTTCAATTTCGAAATATTTATTTTCTTATAATCTTAAGGAACATTTCGTATGTATCTCTCGTCGATAATTTTCACTTTTGATTTATTTGTTCACGAGATTGAGTTGTTAATAGTTAACAATCTGTCTCTTAGACGAAGGTTTCATATATGTAACAGAGCCATGTTGAAATTAAGCGAGTCCCAGACACTTTTCTGTCAAAATGAGATCTTTCCTGTGCTGAGGAGAGGTAATACCTTGAAACCGCGGTCTGACGGTGATTTAGTTGAATGATATCAGTATGGTCCTGCTGCTGGATGAATGAGGAACATCTGCGAGACTATAACTTCGGCGTGAGGTATCTTGCATAAATGTCTGTCAGATATAATTCAATATCCAGCGTGGTATTAGCCGAGGAAGTACTTGTTTTCCGACAGACATTTACCAGAGCCTACTGTGTATTATATCGACTTCATCTCATGTAGAAGATATTTCCTCATACAAGAATGAAAACTCAATGAATTATTATAATAAACAGATACATTCTATTGTCGGGTAATACTCCTGTGTGACTTGAGCCGTGCACTTGACTGTCTCAGTCATGAAAAACTGGCTTCACAATTGGAATATCATGATGTAAGAGGTCTATCACTCAGTTAGATATATTCATTTCTCCAGAATCGGGATCAATTTGTGTCATTGCAAATGACAAGAAAATAACTATGAACGTAGAAACATAACAATAGGTGTACCACAGGGATCCATAAGGTCCTATGTGATTGAGTGTTTCAGCAAGACTCTCAGATTCATCTGAATAATGCTTGCAAAGGAAATGTCACATACCGGATTGGGATAATCTTAGAGAAACACGACGTGAAACCAATATTTAGGCCTACAAAAACTATCAGACAAAGTAAAGTCAGCTGAGGACCCCAGAAAAGTTTTTGCAACACCCGAGGTATACCGGATTCTTTGTAACTGCGGGACGGTCTACATTGGAAGCACGAAGGGAAGTGTAGGTACTCGTCTCTCTGAACACAAAAGAAGAAGTTGTCGACTCAGACAAACCAACAAATCAGCTGTGGTTTGAAGGTGATTGATAATGTTTCATTAGTTCGGACTTCTATCGTCTAATATTTACCTCTTATGTCGTTGGAGTAGACACTCGTATCTGTGCCCTGGTGCTGAATACTGAAATTTAACGAGATATTCTGGAGCCATATTTTTGAAACTTGGACAAGTGGAAGTGAAGGTGATTATCAGTTTGCCTTTGGANTTTTATAATACACGCTATTTTCATAAAAGTTGTTGGCATCAATATCTACTTCTTGTGGTGCAGATATCTGATCACTATTCAAACTTAATATATTCAGTAAAACTGATACTTTTTTGTCAAAACATTTTGTGCTCTTGAAACAGTTTCAGTTTCTGTGGTGCTACTCAGTAGAATTACCAGACACTTGTGCCATTCACATATTTCTTCCAATTTGTTGAGCTCAAATAAGGCAGCAAATTTGAATGTCAAAAATTCTTTTTCAGAAATGTCACTAGTGGTTTTATTCATGTCGTTGCAAATAACTTTGAAAAAGTGACAGCAACACATATGTATTTCAGTTAATTCATTTGGTCTTGTAACAAAACAGCAACACCACGACGGGGCAAGCTGGATAGGTTCGTGCACTTGCCAATAATTTAAATAAAGTG